TTTACATGTAATATTTTTCTAAATAAAAGACTATTTAAACAGCAGATACTTTACTCCTGACATTGGGAAAGTGTTCATGTCTTGCTTTCTTTCTTAGGGTATTTATTGCATTACTATAATCAGGTGGAGACAGTAAGAAACATTATCTCAAGGTTTCATATCTTGTAGATAACTGGCCTTTATACTTGTATAATATGAAAGTAAAAATTTTTGGTACAAAGATAATTTCCTGTTTGATAGAAAACTAACAGTTATGGTGAAACTTTTTTCAAGATTTTATCCCAATTCATCTGTACAGTGAGTTCATCACTGTCATAGCAAAATTATAATACCTAATACTGTACTTTGTTATATTCTACAGACTTCATCCGCAGAACAGGCCATAGTTCTCTTTATTTACACTCACCCAACCCCAAGTTCATGACAAACTTATTATTTTATTGTGAGATTTAATAAGGCTAAAGAATAAAGGAACAGATATTACACTCTATTCCTACATTTTTATGGTTGTCACAGGCTTTATTTACCTATATTCACTATAAGTGCTCGTATTTCATTCCCAGAATTGGCTTATAATCCAAGAAAATAGGAAAATGAGGTGTACCTTAGCTTGGCATTCAAGTTTTTCGTGCTCGTAAATCGTGTCGCAAAAGTAAACGTTTCGTGCCACTGACAACATTTGAGGGTTGGAAGCATACCAACCTCCCAGTCTTCCCAGTTGGTACACGTGACTACACTACAATGACGTAGTAACAACAAACGACGGTCGGGTACCACCATGGCCCATCTTGAAAAATCACAAAATTTTTACTCCATTGTATTACGACCGCTGGGATAACACAGCATGGTGTACACCACGGCTGATCTTGCAATTGGCCCAAAGAAGGTGAAAGAACAGAACACTGTGGGACATCACTATTGGTAGAGAAAGAGCGAGAGATCGATCCCTCAACAACAACCGCCATGGATGAGTTCTCAAGGAAGCTAGAAATTAGAGAACAAAGTGGGGGAGAGAAACCATAAGAGGGAAGTTTAGAAAGTAAAGACTTGTGCCATACCCTGTCAAATGCTTTGGAGATGTTGAGGGCCACGACGAAAGTTTCCCCATAATCCCTAAGAGAGGATGACCAAAGATAGGTGCAGTAGAAGAGCAGATCACCAGTGGATCTCGCCTGGCAATAGCCATACTGGTGATCCGACAAAAAGAAAGGCGTTCAAGGTGAAGGAGAAAATGAGAGTTTCAGATAGTTTTGAAAATCTTAGAGAGGGATGAAGTAAGGGCAATGGGGCGATAGTTCGAGGGATTGGAATGATCACCCTTCTTTGGGATGGGATGAACCAAGGCATACTTCCAAGAAGAAAGAAAAGTTTGGGTTTTGAGGCAAAGGCAAAAAATGTGAGCAATTACAGGGGCCAGAACTTCAGCACACTCCCTCAGACCACGAGGGGGTATTCCGTCCGGTCCATGTGCCTTACTAACATCCAACCTGGATAACACACCAGCAACCCTATGAGTGGAGATTATAGGAAAGTGCATAGGTTCAGTAGGAGGAGCAGGGGTACGAGGGATAGTTGGAATTGTCGAAGGTGGAGTTAAAGGAGAAGAAGGTGCCAAAGTGATTGGCTTTGTCAGGGGGAGAGTTGGCTATAGAGTTATCAGGTCAGAAGAGTGAAGGAAAAGAGAGAGTGCAGAAGTTATCACAGATGTTTTCGGTTAAGGACCAGAAGGATTTACTAGAGGAAGAATTAGTCAGGACATCAGTGTTTCTTTTTATAAAATTCCGCTTAGCCCTTAGAAGAATATCCATACAACGATTCCTAGAAGTAATGAAAGAGGAGTGGGTAATAGGAGAAGAAGATAGTTTCATAGCTTGGTATGCCCATCTCTCTCCTTGCATGCAAGAGAGCAGGAGTGATCAAACCATGATTGTAAAGTGAAAGTTTTAGTAGCAGATGGAATAAAGGCACTCATACCACCCTGTATAACCCCAGCAATGCTGTCAGCACATACTGAGGCATCCCGAGTGGAAAAACAACTTTCATCCCAAGGAAAGTCGGTGAAGAATTCTCACAAGGATTGCCATAGTTGACGTTTAGAGGGGGGTGGGGGAGGTGGTCGTGCCCAATTTGATTTAATAGAAAAAAGATTGTGATCAAAAGACCCTAAGGGGGCAGAAATTGAGTATGAATAGTGTGAGGGGTTAGAGGTAAAACAGAGATCAAGAATGTTATCAAGTTGATCGTGTCAATTAGGAACATGTGTAGGGTGTTTGATTATTTGTTCCAAATCATTAAGTAAGGAAAAAGAGAGTGCTTCAGCTCCACCTGGGTCATCCCTTGCAGAGCCAAGCCACTCTCTGTGATGTACATTGAAATCCCCTAGGTAGAGCATCTCGGTGTTGGGGTGTGTGGATAGCAACGACTCATGGCAAGAAGTGAGATAGTCAAAAAGTTCCAAATAGTTTGTAGAGTTGGGAGAACAGTATAGGAAACAAAGAAGAATAGTCTTAGTTGGTAGAGATATTTTGAGCCAGATGACATCGTAAAGGGAAGATTCAAGATCCGCATGTCGAGCTACAGGTGTACGTGTGTTGCAGTAGGCACATACACCTCCCTTAGAACGGAAGGAGGTAATAAGGTTGTAGTTGGAGACTTGTAAAGGTTTGGGTGAAGCTGCTTTGGGCAGATGAAGTTAGAAAGTAGTAAGGGGTCGGGGGAAGAGGTTAATAGATGGTGCTCCACAGAAGGAAAATTGGATCTCAGGCCGCGAACGTTGGAAAAATTAAGTGTGAAAAAAGCCGATCCTTTAGCAACGGCGGTGTAGTACATTTGAGTATAAAGTGAGTACAGTAATATGTTGCTCAAAATTATGACAGGAAAAAGTCTGTATAACTAACCCCAGTGGTCAGGATAATATGTACTGTATTTTTGGTGTTTTTTACATCATTATTTACAATTTTCATACATTTAGTACATTCACCGAAAGATTCGGTAAATCGGCTTTTATTGACAGGTGGTCCCGCCTCCTTTTAGTCCGGATCTTCGAGGGTTCACTATATTTCATCTCTCAAATCCGGAAAAAATCCCAGCTCACTGGAATTATCTAGGTACCGGGGAAAATATTCTCAGAATTTTCCATAAAATGTGCCCCTCAGAAAATCAGAGAGTTCCGGGTTTGAGGGATTACGGTTAACAGAGATATTACTGTATTTTCCAAATAATGTTTTATTAACCCGTCACCAAATAAACCTAAATAATATGGTGAATTGCATAATGTCGTTAAAAAGGGATCATAGACTGCCGAGCGGAAGTGATGAGTTGTCCTCCCTCCTGTGCCGCCTCATCTGGCCGGTTACACACCAAATGTAGTTTTGTACATTATCTTTATATAATTCATATTCTATTCATCTTAATCTATTTCATAATTTATTCCTATAATAATAATCAACTTTCGAAACCACTCAGTTATTTCAGATTTATTCCGAGTTGAAATCCAAATTATAATGATCAGAATTAACGAGGGTATAGTGTACCGCTTTGTCCTGCATTTTCTAAATTTCTAGTGTTGCTCTTGATAAATGAAGATTCAGAAGTTTCATTACCATACTTGCATTACATTCTAAACCATGAATAAAGAGAAATTTTCCCAAAAGGTGACTAAAGATGTGGATTCTACTAAAGGGATCCAACTTTATTTTTATTGCTTTCAATTACTATACCAGCCTTCTTCTTAACATAACTTTGACACAAACAAGGGAAATGGGAATATTTTTGGCCATAAACCTACAAAACAGAAAGTAATCAAAATTACAAGGGTTGAGGCGGATGTCTGACAATGACCTCATAAGCTCTGACTGACCACTTCCTACAACTGCTCAATTGATGGTAAAAGCTAATTCTAATGAAAAATCTTACTTGTTTTAACTGTTCATTTTATTGGTTTTACAATATTTTATATACTGATACAGTATCTAAATTATTTACTATTTACATTTAATTTGTATATTTCATGTTTGTGTTTGATCCAAAAATTTTAGGTCAGGAATATACCTTCAGATAATACATGTACAGGTACAGTATTTTCTCGATTTAATGAACTAATTCGAACCACCCCTATCCATTAAATCAAAATTTCCACGATATCAAATTTCCATTATTTTCGCTTGATTTAGTGAACCAGTTCACTAAATCAAGCGTGATTCCATTAAATTCCACTACTTGGAGCATGAGGTTTATTTACATCTGCTCAGTCTGTGTCCTGCCGCCACCGCGTGTGTTGTTCACTGCTACCTCTCAGTCAACTAACTATTGTGCTTAGATATCATGCCAGGTCTCTCAGAAGTCTCAGAAAGGAAGTGGTGTGAGGGAGAAAGTCAAAAGAGTGCAACTACCAATTGAAAATACAGTAATAGAAAAATTAAAAAAAACACCGAACCCCCCAGTTAAAGGTAAGCCACGAATAATGTTTCTAATGATTCTATGTCATATCATGTGTCTGAGGCATCTCCGTAGGTGTGAGCATATTAACGGAATTATTCTCGATTTAATGAGCTAGTTCACTAAATCGAGCAAAAAATAATGGAAAAATTTCCTTCCGCTAAATCGAGAATTCGTAATATCGGATTCCATTAAATCGAGCGTAAGCTGTATTTCAATAGGAAAACATGCTTCATATAGCATAGTTTTCCATAATGCAGTGCTTTACAGGAATGCATGTACTAATCATGTGGGTATGCCTGTATACAATACATGATCTCCAGTTTCAAAATCCATAATCTGACAAAATTCCAAATTTTAATGCCCATGCATTCAAAATTCCAGTCAAAATGGCACTTGAGTTTCCAAAGATTACTACTCTGTTACTCGTCATTGTATAAGGACCTGTTAATAAACTCATGGACTTATGTGGGTTTTTCAATACACAATCTTAGTGGGCAGTACAAGGTTGAGTTACTTATGGCAAGCTTTCTAGAACTGATCAAAATGTAGTCATAACTTACCAAGGTCATTATTTTGAGTCTCCCTCTTACGATAAGCCTCTGCATTTCTGGTGTGTTTGCTTGGAGAATCCTATGGTGGAGTAAGGAAAATATAATTAAAATCTGTACATTGATCATTTGCATACAGTATTTATGAAATTCCCCCTCCATTACAAAAAATTCAAAATCCAGATTATCATGATTCATTTCCATTCCATACCACACATTCCTTAACACTCATTCATTCTCTGGTAACCTCACCTTCTTGTACAAGGGGTCATCATTATATGTAGGGGATGTGTTCAAGAGAAATGTGACGTACAGTCACGTCTCATCTAATGTGCATTTAACTTATGCACATTCAACTTTATGTGCATGGCTTAGAAAAAAAAAAAGCTGTAGTGAGGGTAGGAGTGTATGGCTGAGGAAGATACTTCCACCCGTGCCTCTCTCAGCCTCAGTTGCCGCTTGTACTGAGCAGGGAAGGGGGCTTGGTTTGTGTGCTTCTGCCGACTGACCCTTAGCAACAGTTGTTAAGGGTCGGTCGGCAGAGGCAGTACATTGCAGCTGAGCTGCGATGCAGTGCATGCACTATCCTGTAGAAATTTTGAATTTTTATGCTTTCACTATTTTCCTAAACATTCTCTGCTGAAATCAAATTCACAATCAGCGGCAAAGAGGATAAAAAAAAACTTACAGCAGAGGTGGTTGTGTAGTGCGCATTTAAACTGAAATAAGTTTAACCAGCCAGGTTGCCAGATGCACTATTGACAAAATGCCCACTGCTTCTACACTTATGGTCACCTTCTACACAGAATACAAACTCATGCTCTTTATAACTCTTATTTTATAGTTTTATATTTTATTTTATTTATTTTGAAGTAACAATAGAGTATTGAATTTTTTTTTCAGCAACTTTTATAGTTTCATTATACTGTACAGTTAGTCCTCACTTAACGTCGTGGTTACGTTCTTGAAAAACACAACGTTAACTAAATAAATTTTCCCCATAAGAAATAGATAAAATACACTAGTTACGTTTCCCAGCCTCCCTTTGCCCCATAAAATACATTACATATACATAAATTCAATGGAATTTTTATAGAAGCTATATATATTACACATCAGAGAGCGTAGGTTCACAAACAGGGTGGTGGACGAGTGGAACAAGCTTAGCAACTTTGTAGTAAGTGCTGGAATGCTGGAAAGTTTCAAAAGGAGGCTAGATAGATTCATGGATGATAGAGAGTCGTAGTAACTCTCGACAGGAGCTGCCATGCATGGGCCAACCGGCCTATTGCAGACTCCTTATTTTCTTATGTTCTTATGTAGGAGGGCAGGAGAGGAGGAGAGTGACGAGTCACTGAGACTCTGCGGCTGCCTCCTCCTGCTCTGACTGGGGTTCCTCCACCGCTGTTTGCTCCTCCTCTGTTGTTGTTTACGCCGTAAAAAGTAGTCCGCGACGACGCAAAATGACGTTGTACTAAGTCATCGGGACATTAAACGAATTTTTGGTATCTAAAGATTAGCGACGTACAGTAGTACCGAAACAACATTAAGCGGGCCGGCATGGTGTTAGCAGGAAGGAAGATAACTTGTACATTAGGGGGACGTCCAATTAGAAACTTAAGAGTGTCCAGGAGCATTATCCATCACCAGGATTACTTTGAAGTCAATGTTCTTCCTCCGGCAGTATTGTTGGGTGTCAGGAACAAAGTGCTTGTCAAACCAATCAGTGCATTAAGATGTTGTAACACAAACTTTCTTATTAGACATTTTGGCATAACAGTAGGTTCTAGGACGGGCACACGGTTAGCAACCAGGGGTTTCATCAAGAAAACTCCACTTGCATTAGCTGTAAATAAAACTGTAATCCTGTCCTTTGAAGTCTTTACACCCCTTGCCTGTTTTCATCCTTGGTAATGAAAGTGGTCTTAGGTGAGCGCTTCCATAAAATGCCAGTTTCGTCACAATTGAAGATCTGGTGTCGGCAATAACCACCCTCTTTCACAAGAGCTTGAAAGACAGGTGGATATTTTTCTGCTGTTACAACATCAGCCGATGCTCTCTCCCCATGATAGTGGGCAAACTTGATTTCAAAATGATTCTTAAAAGCAGCCAACCAACCAACAGAAGCATTGGACGGTGGTGGAGAGTTAACGTGTTTCTATTGTGCAACTGCAGCATAATAAACACGTGCTTGATGCCTTATACATGGCCCAGACAGGTCGCCTTGCTCACGGTTTCTTCTTTCCACCCACTAGTGAAGGTAATGTTCTGTGATAACAAGCAGTAGGTTTTGTTGTGAAGTATACAGTTAACCCTCACTTTACACGGTTAATGTAACCCGCAGGGTCCCGCGTAAAGTGAGAAACGCGTAACGTGAATAACATAACATATGGGATTAATTGAAATGGAGTCCGGGCCGACCCCCAAACTCCACTTTTTGACGACACACAACTATGTTGTAGTAAAAATTTTATCTTAACTTTATGATGGTATGAAAAAACAAGTAATATAGAAGAGGTTAGGTTAGGAAAAATAAAGGTTAACATAGGAAAAATAAAGGTTAGGTTAGAAAAACTAAAAGTTTGGAGGAACACTTACGGTAGTAGAAGAGATGGGTCGGCATACGGGGATGGAGGCTGGTTCCGAGGCAGAGGGCAGATTACTGGCCCTCAGGTGAATCACCATTACTAGGTGAATCACCATCACTGTCACTTACAGTTGTCAGGGCTTCCCTGACAAATCCCTCAAAGTCATCTTCACTGTCACTATCACTGGCTTGGGCTGGCTGTGGTGGGTTGCGGGCGAAGAACTCGGTTATGCTTTTTTGACGGCTGGTGTTTATGTTGTCGTGATACACCGTGATGTACGGCTCCATAGCCTGCACCAGCCGGGTATGGAAGACTTCATAGCGGTCATCGTCATTGTCGCGGGAAAGGAAGGACTTCATTTTCTCTGCACACTCCATGGCACCCTTAATATCACTATGAGTTAAACTGTGTTCTTCGGAGAATGACGCACCTTCTTCCTCCTCTTCACTGACGTGATCTTCTTCCAACATCTCGTCGGCAGTCACTTCAGGATCTCTGATCACCTCCAGGATGTCGTCGTTGGTGGTCTCGGAGAAGCCTGGAACTGTAACAGTCTGCGCAGCTTCTCTGGCAAGGTCCACTGCTACTGCAACATTCTGAACCTCACCAGTCACAGATTGACTCCTCCTCTCACCTGGTATTCCATGCAACACATGTCTCCATGCGTGACGAATTGTAGCAATAGACAGCTGATCCCATGACTCCACCAAGAAGTCCACAGCTTTCTTGATGTTAAATACCCTCCAGAATTGTTTGAACAGTATTTTTTGCTGTGCCAACTGTTGATCCTCATCTTCTTCGCTCTTGCTATCGGTGGTGGTGTCACTCAGGTTACGCAACTCTTCCCTGGTGTTGGTGTAGTCGTTCAGGAGTTTGAATTTTTTTGTTGAGAATGCAGCTTTTACATTACAGATTAACTCTTGGTCCATGGGCTGTAATATAGACGTAGTGTTGGGAGGAAGGAAGACCACTTTTACGTTGGGGTGACGATCTAACAGTAGGGGCGAGTGTCCTGGTGCGTTGTCCAGCAGCAACAAAATATTGAATGGCACATTCTGTCGCTCACAGAATTTCTTTACATCGGGAACAAAACAGTCATCAAACCAAGAGAGGGACAGTGTAGAGAACATCAATGCCTTACGTGCGGTCAGCCAGTGGACATTTAGCTTGGTCATGTCCATGGTTTTGTAGGCGTGCGGCTTGCGTGCTGTGTGGATCACCGATAACTTGAGCTTACAGGTACCGGAGGCATTGGTGGTTAACAGGATGGTGATGAGTTCCTTCTGCATCTTCCGGCCCCGAATCCTGCTGGCATTCTTTACAACGAAGGACTTGGAAGGTAGCTTTTTCCAGAAAAGACCAGATTCGTCCATGTTAAACACCTGGTCGTCACTGTACTGTCCTTCCTCCATAATCTCACGTAAAAACGGAGGAAATTCCCTAGCCGCAGCACAGTCAGCACTCGCTTCTTCACCACCAATGTTTATATTGGTGATCTTGTTCCGGATCTTAAACCTCTGTAACCACCCAGAGGAAGCATTAAAGGGTTTGGGCTCTGTAATTCCCATCTTTCGTGCCGCTGCCATGTACAGTTCACGTGCGTAGTCCTTAACAGAGCGCTTGTCAACAGCCATGTTCCGTCGCGCCTGACGCACCAAGTACCTCACAAGTAATTTTTCGGTCTTGAGAAGCACCTGGTTGTGAAAATACTTGATCATAGAAGCACCTGTAGACTTTGTGATCTTCATGTGCTCCTTTATCTTGGCTGCATCCTTCTTTATTGTTCGAATCGTAGATTCATTCACACCATGCTGGCGCGCCAAATCAACCTGCCTTGTTCCTTTCTCCAACTCTTGGATGATGGTATACTTCACCTCGTAGCTTAAGGAACGTCGTGTCTTCTTTGGCTTAGTGCCGCTGGGTCCAGGTAAGGAAAGGTTTCTCTCTGGGGGTGGTGGTCCGGCGGAAGCCATTTTACGGAACAATGGATGCACGTTTACACGGTGTGGCCTTGAGGGATGAAACTGCCGCGGCTAGGTCAAGGGTCGTCTTTCCTCCCTCCCTCCCTCCCCCGGGTGGACACGTCATAATACTTTAAGCCAATTACAGCTAGCAGCAGAGTGGGGTAGGGATGCATGGCTAATCACAGTCCGATACGTCATATGATGTCAGTGATAACGCAACAAAGACACACACTGCGCAACCTTACCGCGCGGCTTGCCCAAGTGGAGGGAGGAGGAGGGAGAGGCGAGGAGCACAGGCAGGCAGGCGGGCGGGCGGGTGGCGGGTGGGGCGAATCTAAAAATAGCGTCGCGCCGGACACTCTCCGCGTAATGGGGTTCACGTACCGCGTAATGTGAGCACGTTAGGTTCTGGCAAAGCACCGCGTAAACGTGGAAACGCGGAATGCGGGACCGCGTAAAGTGAGGGTTAACTGTATATCAGAAAATGTCCTGTTACCAGAAAATCTTGAGAATACATTCATAGAAGCAGTTAAGGATTCCTTGTTCTTCTTAAGGGAATGTATTGTTGATTCGGGGCAGTTGAACCTATGCATGATTTCACAGGTACGAGCACCACTTTTGATCATCTCAAGCATCTCTCGTTTCATTTCAAGGGTGTATTTCCTCTTCTCAACTCCCTTACGGTTGTCACGTTTGGCTTGGGGCTTTCCTTGTTGGCCTTCTCTACGGCCATTATTGCCACCAGAACCGCTCCCAACATTTACATTATGCACCTCACTCATCACTAATACAAAAGAATCATTAAGACACAAGAATTTTGCAAAACATAAGCACAATGTGTTATATAATCCAAGGTCACTGCACCATTCGCTCTCGCTCATTCAAACTAACTGCTGTAAACAATAAACACGGCTAATAACAAAGGACTGCGACAATGCGCACTTCCCACTCTCCACTGATTCGCAAAACCGATAATGAAAATTGCTATTCTTTAAAGACTAGAAATTATAAAAGTGACATAAAACATATGAATCGCAAGTCTAAAACTCACTAAACTTGAGATCCTACTGTACATCATATTGGTTACACAATGCAGCGCACAATCAGAAGTACTAACCTTACCAAATCGGCATTACCTCAGTGATCATTATGAAGGCCGACAGACACAGGGGTGCATCTTTTTTTTCTTTTTTTACTGTACAAAGTAATACTTAATAGACTAATCAAGTGCAGAAAAATGACCTTCCCAATCACCCTGACAACACACATATACACACACACTAGATGGAGGAGGAATTTAGTTAACAGTCCTGTAGTTCATCAGGAAGACACCCAGATCACCCGTATAGAAGTGAACCAATACTCTCATCCATATTCTCAGCCTAATGAAAACATATGTCAATGAATATCTCGACTGCATTTTGATTTCTTCCATAAAGGCAGTTACACAGCTCCTTGCACTGTTGAGTGAGTGGTCCTGGAAGATGGTCATCAAGAGCCAGATCAAACTTTATGTAAAAGTAAGTGAATGCATTCATGATATGGTATTCGAATGCAGCAAGAGAATAGACACTTTTTCAATGGCATCCTAGCCCAAAAAACTTCTTTCCATGCATTTCCCAAGCACATGAAAAGCGATAAAACACTCATCACCGGCTCCTCCCTCCTCCTACCCCTGTACACCACACTGTTTGTCTCAGCCACAAGGACGATCTTCAGCTCTTCTCCAAGGTTAAACCAAAGTTGGTAAATTATTTATTCTTTGTTTCTAATAAGCTTATATGCATAGACAGTACTGTGCTGTACTGTACAGCACAGCACACAACAAATTTACCACAAGCCATAGCAGAAGGGTTAAGAACCTATGAAAGTTGCAACCTATACAATACCGACTTGGGAAATAATTAAAAGATTAGCCTCCACTCTTGCAAGAAAATCTAGCCCTCAAACAGAGGCTAGAAAAAATAGTTATGGAAGCTGGTAAGCCACATATCACAGAGTTCTGTATATCAGAAAAAGTAACTAAGTAAAAGTATGATATTCTACCCATAGATGGCCTTGAAATAAACTGTACCTAAAAAAAAGTAGATCCCCAAAAGATATACATAAAAGGAATAGCAAATTATTGTTACTTCTTCACTTACCAGCACTGCTTCTTGTGGGACTGGGTTTTGTTGAATCTTTTTAGGAGTACTGTGCTGTTCCACCTTAATTACTGCTCCAAAGTTTTCTTTCTTTGGAGAAACAGGAATGGCACATTGCTTTCTTGGTGAACGTCGTAACAGCTAGAGGAACAAAATCATACTACTGTACAGGTAATGTACATCAGTTAAGATAGAAATGAAAATTCATGTAATGTCAAATTCGTGCTAATATATTACCAAAATTTTATAATCTAAAATATAATTATTCATTTATGAAGAGAAGTAAAAAATCTAGAGCTGCAAAAGTTAACAAATTGTTGACTGTAATACAGAAAGTGAGGACTGCCAGTAATGCTTGAAATTTTATTTATGGAAAAGAACTATGACTTCCCAACAACTAAATTCCTTTTGATAATACCCATCATATGGTGCTGAAAAGTCATCAATAAATACAGAGGTTTCTTCTAATGTTCAATGAATCACTGAATTAGGGTTTTGATTCTCATGAACCCAGAAGTTATACATATGCAGTACTGTATATATACTATATTCACATGTTCCAATCCCACTTCTAGTTTATCTCGTATCTAACACCTTAACAGGAGGGAGATTATCCAGATCATCAATGTGTGATACAGGATATGAGAAAACCAGCTAAGAATAGGGAGGTGGTAGATTAGTATTACTGTAGTGGCATCACTCACTGCAACCTAACTGAAATACTTTCATGTCAAGTCTGCTGCCTAATAAGAAGTTTTCAGTTACTTCCCAAACCCAAACAGTTTATATTTGACAGGGTTCTCATTAGCACTGTTTGAATGCAGTCAAGCTACCGGGGTAAATGTGAATACAGTAGGGTCTCAGAGTACGCAGTGCGAATACTCAGGTCCCACCTGTATATATATAGTGTGTGTGTGTGTGTCCTTTTTTTATATTAAGGTAACTGATGCAAACTTCAGAGTTCAATACGCCCCTCCTTAGTAAGTCTAATTTCTTGGCTTTGTCTTCCAAAGTTCTCACACTATGCATTTTTTTCTTTTCTCACTCTCACCACCACGAGCACACTAAGTTTACTCTTAATAGCCACAATTGTGGTAAAATTCACCAGTAAAGAAAAACTTTACCATTGTCAATGCCTGGGAGATGTTCACTGAACCAGTGTGAAAGAGAGGAGGACACCAGTGTTATGTTATTGTGTCGTGGTTAGTTTTCAACTCATAATTTTAGGTAAAATGCTACTACGACCACATAGTTGGCACATGCAATCCCTAATGGAGGTTCACATTGCTTAACCCTCCTGCACATGATGACGTGATTTGCGTCATATTCATGATAAGTACAACTTCATGGTGATGCAAATCAAGGCACCAAACTTTTAAAAATTTGCCAAAAAATAAGTTTTCAACAGAAATGCGTAAGATTTTGACACATCATAGTAGCAAGCTCTATCAAATAAACTAATTGGCAATTCTCGAGGTCTATAGGAAGGGAAGAACGGAACGATAAATGCGCAGTATTATCTCAGCAGGCAGACTGAGCCGTGTCCATTTAAATTTCCATAACTCCGTGCGGGCTGCCTCAACTCCTGGATTACAGTGCTTATTCTACTCCCTGAAATAATGTATTTTTAGTGTTAGACAAGTGAAGTGATGGTTGTGTAATGCAATATTTTTGTTCAAGTCGGAATGCGACGCTCAGCAATGTTACCTAGGTACAGTCGGCCCTTAACATACGCGGGGGTTACGTAACAGAGATACCCGTGGATGTTAAAAATCCGCTTATTTTTGCTGCTCCCCCCCCCAAAAAAAAACCTGGCCCCCCATGTCCTTATTTACCGTATATACCTGTGTGTAGTTCGAGATTTTAAGACCAAATTATTTGGCCAAAAATGGGGGTCGACCTCTAAATGGGTAATAGTTTCGTTAAGTTGAAAAATATTTACCAGTAACTACCAGTAAACAATGGAAACGATGCACCAACGCACCACCAGCTGTGAGTTTCGGTACAGTTGCCAGGGCAGATCTCTTGCGTCATCATAGCAAGCTCAAAGTAGCCAAATCCATGGTATGGTAGCACAGGACGATGTAAAACATAAAGTATTCATTTATTAAAGTGTATTTATAGATACTGTACATAAATTTTTGTTCAATACATTTGAAACATCAATCTTTGTTAATTAAATTTGAAACAAAAGAAAACTACGATACCGTATTTTCATTAAAATATTACATCACAAGTATATTTCACCTTAACTGTGACTGAATGAATATATTCTCGGAAATAAATATGGAAATGTAATATTTTTGCTGAAATGACGTACATATTACAGAGGAAAGTGGGATAAAATCATGACGAAAACAATGACTTTCGCTTTCTTTCGTTGTTCAAAAGATTTTACCGTAATCGCTTTTTGAATGGTTTTCAGTTAAAAACTGTTGTACTCGTACTGTATTACAATAAAATTCTATCCTATCATTAGCCTTATAATCCCACAACTGAAAACCATTCGAAAAGCGATTACGGTAACATCTTTTGAACGAAAGAAAGCGAAAGTCATTGCTTTCGTCACAATTTTATCCCACTTTGCACTGTAATACGTACATCATTTCAGCAAAAATATTACATTTCCATGTTCTCAGAAATAAATGGTAGTTTTGTTGAAACGTAATGTACAGTATTTAATATTAAAATGCAAAAATAGCTATAAAAACAATTAATACTGTACACCCGTAATGTACTGGCTGGCATCTCCACTCGACCCTGTTCCCGCCAATCACCTCCTCCACATCGTCACTACTGTTGTATTACAAAAATATTCTATCCTAATTCACTTGAATAAATACTACGATACCATATTTCTGAATATTTTCATTAAAATCCATCAAAATCATTTTCCTTGTCATCGTCTTCAACACCAAACAGCTCCTCCCAGTCTTCTCCTTGAACAGGGCTAGAGGGTATGTGTTTTTCGAATCGTTTTCAATAAAAAAAATGTTACATCACATGTATATTTTACCTAAACTGCGCCCGAATGAATATATTCTCACAAATAAATAGTAGCTTTGCTGAAACGTGATGTATTTCAATGTAAAATAGGATAAAATACATGACGAAAACAAAAGACTTTACCTAACCTTCCGATGTTCACGAGATGTTACTCGTTTTTATAATAGTTTTCGGTTAAAATACTGTTATATTAGCCTCATAATCCCACAACTGAAAACCATTCGAAAAGCGATTACGGTAACATCTTTTGAACGAAAGAAAGCGAAAGTCATTGCTTTCGTCACTTTCCACTGTAATACGTACGTTATTTCAGCAAAAATATTACATTTCCATATTCTCAGAAATATATAGTAGTTTTGCTGAAGCGTATTGTATTTCAATGTAAATTAGGATAAACTACATGAAAACAAAAGACTTTACCTTACCTTCCGATGTTCAAGATATGTTACTCGTTTTTTTAATAGTTTTCGGTTAAAATACTGTTATACTAGTGATATTCTATTCATACTGTGCTTGATATAATACATTCACGGAAATGTAATATTTTTGCAACTACAATGCTGATGTCAACACAAGCGTGGTTACAGCGAGACTGACTGAGTGAGGGAGAGCTATGCGTGTGTGTGTGTGAGGTTGCGGGAGCGTGTGGTGCCCTGTGTTCGGTGCCGCGCGCGGGTTGAATGGCGTGCGATTTGAATGTACTTCAATTACTTCAATGTACAAAATATTCCTCCGGCGGGGCAATCCGCGTATTTGCAAATCAGTGTATGCTAAACCCGCGTATGTTAAGGGCCGACTGTATGTTAATTCCTAGCTAACTCGCCAGGCCAACATACAGGCAATTAAAACATCTAATAATTACTTAAGTAATATTAGGAGGACACGTCGCTACCTGGCATTTCATTGCAATTCTCAAAACCCCCTCCTTCACCCCCCACCATACGCATCACGACCTTCATCTCTTGCCTGGCGATTCAGCTGTAAATACACACGAAGGAGAGCTCCGCGAATTTGTGTTGTAATTGCTGAAATACTAAGCTCCGCGAGGATTTTATATACAGTATTTGTACATATTAGCACAGTGATGAAGTAGAGTGACTTAAATTTGTTTATGTCTCTCAATTATTGTATTTGGGACAATTTCTTATACGATCTCTGGTCAGCATCATGGCAACAACAACACGTCTTCTTTGTGAAGTCATTTAGATCCTTGTGACTATTCCTTGCCTTCAAGTCACTCAGTGAATGTCGCTGCGCCCTCCCGGGCTCGTCTTCACTGAAAGAGAAGATGTGAATATATCTATTTATATATACATATATATGTACAGTACAGTGGTACCTCGGTTAACGAGCGCCTCGGTTAACGAGATTTCGGTTAACGCGTTACCTCCCATAAGATTCTTAACTTCGGTTAACGAGCAATCCCTCGGTTAACGAGCAATCCCTTGGTTAACGAGTTTCTTACGAGCCGACCTCAACAAGTTTTGGCTTGCACTTGGCGGTCAACCAGCTTTAGTATTAGTCCGCCAATACATTAATCGGTTCTAGGGCTTAAATTCCTTACTATTTTAGTAAATATCAAGAAGTTTATACTATTCAATAATTTTAAAAGTTTAATATTAAATTTTTTAGTCATTTTAACAATTATTGAACATAATTGAAGGTAAAGTGACTAGTTTAATGCGCGCCATCCAGCCTCTTAACACAGCAAACAAGCGTTAGTCTCTCTCTGTTTTCAGTGGAGGTAACATCTTGCTTGAGACTCTCTTCAACTAAACGCTTTTTTTCTGTGTTTCCAAGCAAATTACACTGCCCTGCATAGTTTTTGAGGTTTGTGTATTATTAAGCTTTTCTGGGTGTATTTTGCATGCTGATCTCAAAAATGTTATCCATTTTGCTCAATCAGGTCAGAATTTTGTGCTATAGCATTTTAAGCGGAGATTCAGGTAAAATATTGGCATTTTTCGCTCAAAATGGGGTCCTCATATTCGTTCATTAAAAAAATCATCCGAGACATTGGCAAGCCACACAGAAAAGATTTCGGTCAGTTTTAATGCCCTTACGATGCATTTAAATACACCCACGTGCTCGCCGGCCATTTAAATGTCCGCCGTGACGCAAAGGAAAAGAGTATA